TGTTCTAAGCCAAAGTACACTTGCTACCCAGATAAACAGTTTTAAACATTTCTTTGGACTGCCTAAGACTTTTGCACAGTACTGTATCATAGGCTTTAAGGGCTAGACTGGAGCTACACCAGGCAGATATATTCCCTACCTTCACTGCAGGACCCTGCAGGATTATTTAACAGGCATTACCCATCTTTGTGTACATAACAGTTTGATGGATTAGTCAACAGATTTTCCCACTGCTCAGTCATTATCATCGATATGTTTTTTTTTTTGCAAAAGTCTGCAGCATAATAAGAGTTTTATGCAGAAGATCCACCACCACCCCACCATTCTTCAGGGAACTGTACAGGATGCACTCAATCCCAACTGGCGTGATGTGTCACTCAACTGATTCAAAGCTGACAATCTGCCTCTCAGACCAATGCATTCACACTGGGGTTGATGAATATGCACTTTACTCCAAGCTGCTGATGTCAGTCTGTCTTCCATGACCTCAGCCAGGTTAAGCATTAAGAAGTTGAGCAGTTACCAGTATCTTTAAATGGGTTGCTGGACATTACGGTGTAGACTGTGCAGAGACTTTTGGAGGGGCAGTTGCTCAATGGTTAAAGAAGGGGCCCTAAGTACTTTTAAAGCTCATGCACAAGTTCACATTAAATAGTTCAGGTGCCTGGTGCCAACTGCACAGCAGAAATAAATGGAAATTTGTGTTTGAGAAAGACCTGAGGGAAAAAAAACACCCCAGCAGACTGTAAGGCACGTGTTTTGTGGAGATTTAATTTAAAGCAGTCTCCACTGCCATTTTTGCACTGGCATACAGGAAGCGACCCATACAGTGACTAGTTATAGCGCGGTTCCAACTCTCTGCAGAAGGGTCGGCTCTATTTGGAGAGCGGGGTTTGGACAGCAAGAGTGAAGTAAAACCGAAGCAACAATATTTACTGTTCACACGATGTACATCATGATTTACTATGGGAAATTATTATTATTATTACTGTGTGCTAGTTTCCACTAGCACATCTGTGAGAATCGCCATATTATGCAAGTAGCCTATCAAACAATAGCGGAATTAGCATTCGCTTGTGTAAATTTGCATTATGAACCCATTCTGTTCCGCTGTTCTATAGGAGGTTGGTTATTCCAAGTCATCAGGAATGCATCAATACATAAATGTCATACTTCAATGTGTGATACTACTAATGATAAATAATATATCGAATAATGTGAATTTTTTCTTCATACGGACGCAGTTGTCTGGTAATTCCGTGCATTTCGACCAATCAGATGGTGGTGGCGCTACGAACTTGGTTTAGTCACGGTATCAGACCCCATAAACTTAATATAGTACTGGTTTATCCGAGATAAAGATGGTTTTTCACTTTCTGAGCTCCCGATTTACGAGTTTATATCTTTACGAGAATTTTCTGCCGCAAAAGTCACTATTTTATTTTTTTTTCATATATTTCTTTTTTTAATTTGCTGCCCTAAAAAGCCATTCGTAGCCCAACAAGCTTCTCGAGTTCTCGATTAACGATCAATAATTTGGAAAGAATGTCGAGAACTATACCTGTACGATGTTATCGGCTATCCTGGTTATTTAGTATCGTCACCATCTGTTTATTTAAATTGGTACCGCTCTTCAGTTTTAAAAACAAAATAAACACCTCCCATAGATGGGTGCCCGATATCTGAGAACAGTTTCATGAGGTCTGTGTGAGAATAACATGAACTGAACGATTCTGACCCATACCCAGCACTACGAGACCACTGGCTTCGCTGGAACGGAGGTGAGCCGGCAAGTCACCCTCCATATGTGTGGACATCATGACTAACTTTCAACAAAATGACGGAAACATTTACTTTTCTCATCTTTTTAATCAATTAAGGGAAAATGTGATTCCGCAACGTGGTGTAATAACAGTATTTGATTCCCAAAATAGGTTTAAACAGATTTATATGCTGCTCCTCGCTTCAAAAAGCCCTCGAGGCACAGCCTGCTGCTCAGACTGAGTGTAATCAGTCATTCCATTAAAGTATAACGTTGGATTCAGTGAACTACGGAAGAGGATTAGGGCCACCATGAAAATATTATTTGAATTCTGACTTTAATGTCAGAATTCAGACTTTTTTCCTCAGAATTCTGACTTTTATCTCAGAATTCTGACTTCTTTCTCAGAATTCTGACTTTTTTTTAAACTCAGAATTCTGAGATTAAAGTCAGAACTCAAATAATATTTTCATGGTGGCCCTAATCCTCTTCCGTAGTTTACTGTGACATTGCCAGTCAAACAATCATAAATCTCCCCCAAAATCACTGTGCTGCACTTAATTGCTTGTGAACACTACAGAAAAACAATAAAGACATTTATTTAAAAAGTTTGCATTTGTTAGAACGTTTCCCCGCTCCCTTCCATCACATTTCATTTTATGAAATACCAATAACATTTATTTTACCAAAGCGATAAATGATTTACAGAAGAATACTATAGGGAAACTGCGTAAATCTGCACGAACTAACAGATAACAGTTTCTTTATTAAAAGTCAAAGGTCTGCATCTCCAAAATTAATGTCTAAATGCCTCTTCACTGTTAAAATGTGTTGAGATACTGTAAACCTGCGATTTTCTTCAGGATTAATAAAGCATCCATCTGTCTCTGTTTACACGCTGCCCCAGGTTTCTCTGCAATGTGTATCGGTAAAATAAATAAATCTGAGAGTTTATCAACAAAAAAACACCTGTCAACCAAGTATGTTTAATTAAAATACATACGTGTATTTGATATCTGTATGACTAGGTATATAACTTCGAGTCATCTAATTGTGTTAATATCAATTTGTTTTTATAACAGTACGCATCCAGCAAATACAGGATAACAGTGCATATATAGTTCTATGTTTGAACAATCCACTAACAAGCTACTATGTAAATAATGCGGCATTTTGCACACCCTATAACCTTACCACGGGAATCAATTACTTATTTGCACATTGAAATCTGTTTGCATTTTAAACAGATGAAGAAACGTACCGATTCATGTCGGTGAGGTTCCAGCCCCCGAGGGGCTGCAGAAATGCCGTCTGTTTCCTAACTCAGCCGAGCCCTGCTGTCCGGACACCCGGCCGTAGCCTCGCTCGGTCCGAACGGCCCACAGGACGGCAACACCGAGGGCCGCTCCCCCGTCGTCGGTGCAGTAACAGTCTCCACGTAATGGGCTAAAGGCCGCCTTGGCACCGGGCTATGCCCCGAATAGCCACCGGTGTGTCAGCCGTACCAGCCGGATGAGGTCGTAGGTTTATTCACGGTTCACTAACGGGTTACATATTCAGCTGCTCCACAAGAAATAAGCACAAACGCATACAACAAACGGCATAGCTACATGCCCTCCGGCGGCCAGTCCTTCGCTTTGTTTTCGTCCGTCTCCTCGGAGACCGGCTCTCTGCTTCTCCAGCCCACCGCGTCACTTAGCGCTACCCGCGGCCGCAGCACACCCACGACCCGCCGTCCGAAGCAAGGCGCGGGCTCCGTGCCCTAGAAATCATACGCTAACTAGAAACGGCGCGTCCTGCATAACGGATGCGCGACAAAACTTCACTGGGAATACCCACTGGCACATAATAATTACTATAATAACGATTCAGTTTAAAATGAAAATATTATCCGTTTATATACATTAATAATTTATTAGCAACTTATAATAACAGGTACTGGATGGTGGTTCAAATCTTGTGGCCAGCACAGTGATCATATTTCTGTGGGGCCCTTCAGCAAGGCACTGAAAACTCCTTCAGGGCCACTGGAAAAATGGCCTGATACAGTGCTCTGACCCCAAGCTTCCCTCTCACCTATGTTTGTGCCTCATGGGAGAGTAAAATGGAGTATATGAAACAGGGGTGGGTCTAAGGAGTGGCTATGACCATCTCTGTTGCTACCAGATGTTGCTAACAGATGTTAAATACTTAAAACAAGCCCTCTTTCTTAGCTTTTTAAACATGTTGGCATAAGGTGGCGCCAGATAGCTGTGAAACGTGGTAGCCAGTGATGTTCCATATGTTGGCATACTGCGACAAAGTTTCATCAGAGCATATGCAAGCAGCAATGCACATTTCAAAGCATGTAATTCACAATAATACCATGGTAGGCCATAAGGGTCAAAATGTGCTCGCTTTTTTCACGTTAACACATTCAAAACTGACAGGTTAATGTGCACATTCTGTATGTGTTAACACATAATAACTTGTTAATACATACAAAATGTGCACGTTAACGTGTCGATTTTTAGCAATTTAACACATTAAGGGCCAACACATCCTGTGTCTCTGTGCAAAAGAGATACTGGACTCTCTGGAGGCTGCACCAGCGCCCGTGTAACACTTATTTACTAGTAAGTTACTTTAGAATTTATACTTATTTTTTACTGGTTAGTTTAAGTATGTTCATATCCATTCTGTGAATTAATAAAAGAAAGGAGTGACAGTTTTCACTTTATTTTTTTTTAATTTTTATTAATTACTGAGTACTGAATTCATGAGCAGTAACGTAGACAGCGTGTACGGGTCACGCAGCTGTGAAATACATCTAACGTAGAGATGCTGGCTTACAGAAAGGTCTGAATACTCCCCTAGAGAAGCACGGCTCACTTGCCTTGCTCATCTTGAGGTAGGCAGGTACGTCTTATTTTGCACTGCGCACATCAACGGAAGGCCAAAACCCACATTTTTAGCGTGTCACGGACCGTCCTGAGATTTCGCTACATCTCAGTACTCTTCTTGTGACTTTGTTGTGATTGTTCTTGTTCCTTAGAAGAAACCATCTGAAACGTCCAGGTCCCACACCCATCTCGCCTCCCTCTGATCCCGTGCAGCATTCAAATCTGCAAAGTTTCAGTGGGCTTCATTAAGAGTGCAGTGCTTATGGGAAAAGGATGGGCCTCATCAGGAAGGAGGAATAATCCACAGTTCGGCTTGGAAACAGAAGGAGATTTTATTGAAAACTAAATGAAACAAGAAACAAATGGGACCATCAGGGGTCAAAACAAAGGTAGGAAGGTGAACTAAGGACCAATAAGGGCTAGAACTATCAAAGAGGATACACTGATGGACCATTATAAAAGACTACTAACATGGGCAGGAAACAAGCAACATCTACAACAACCAAACAAGGAACAGGGTAAGTGCAGGCGCATATATACATACTGATAACAAGGGCTACACGAGGGTGGACTATTAACAGTTACAAAGCACAGTGGATACAAAAACAAAATGAGAAACCGGTTACAGGGCATAACTATGAAACTAGACACAGGCAATGATAACATAACAATGGTGCAAAACTAGAAATCAACACAGAAATACAAACACAAACATCATAAACATAGAATAAACAGATGAAAGGTTGGGGCACACAACAGCACAATATTTACGATGGTGAGGGACGCTTTGTTACTTAGCCGCATGCTCAGTTCATTCAGGCATGCAACCACCCAAGGACCAGGGGAAGACACAAGGGCTACTGACAGTGCTCAACAAAGGAATGAAAGGAATGGCTAGAGACCCCTGCTGGCCAAACAGGGAAACAATGACAGGATAGGACGAGGCAGGGACTGATCCTGACAGGATGAATGAATACATAAATACACCAGTTAAGATGTAGTGTTCTCAGGCTATGTCAACCACAGAGAATCTGTTCAATGACATGTTTTCTTTGTCACAGTCTTGGGAGAGATACTGTTAAATATGATCCCCCCAGTCAGGTCAGTCAACAGGCCCAAGGTTTTGCTACCTTCAACTGCATGGGTGATTTTCGTTTTCGTACATTTCCCAAACATGTGTTGTTCGTCACATTCTTACTGTACTTTATTGTATTTACTGTAATGAAAAGGCTGCCACTTTCCCAAAATAGAGATTCCTTTTCCACTGCCAAGTCACATGGTCCCGTGTCTGTTGTAATAGCCAGAGGTTGCTGTTTCTGGGGCTCAATAGCCAAAACAGAAATGAGACAGAACTTAAAAACGATGCGGGGTGTTGGGACGGTGATCGACCGGGGAGGGGGGTGCAGTCAATAAGACTTATAAAACTTACCAACCGGGCTAGGGCGATGCCGGTAAATTGATCGGTGAGATTTATTGATGTGGGGTGGTAACAGGGGTGGTGACCGCTTAGATATGCCCCTGAACATAGAGAAAAACACTAAACGTGTGATTCATGAGTGTGATGTGTCTACATGAAATTCCCGGATATTATACAGATTATTCATCCACAGACTTAGACAATCATCAGATTGAGAAAGTTTAACATTGTGACACGCTGAGCTTGCTTGCTCCAGTATGTAAAACTGGAATCTAATTTTTTTGATCAACAGAAGCCTCCTTTGGCAAAGAGCTCTGTATTATAGGCATATCACAAACAAACAAAATCAGTTTACTTTGCTGCCCTCCCAGACCACAATGAATTGTCCCGGGTCAATTCTCTATACATGGGTGTAATTCCACTAAGAAGCCTGTGATTGTTTCGTGCATTTCAATGTCAACTTTTGTTGAAGGGGGGTTTATCTGCTTATTGTATTCTCTTTAAAATGTTTACTTATCTGACTTGTGATCAGCCTGAAGCGTTTAATTCTTTCTTGTGGGTATAAATAGCTGCTTAAACAATACTCCATCTAATTCAGTTTGTTGACCTGTCCACAGGCCACTGTTTTACAGGACTTATGTTATGTTACTACTGTACCTTTCAAATGAACTGGAAGGTGTTTTACAAGGTCATATTTAATTAAAACAAAGTAATAATATTTCATCTTCCATAACTGCTTATCCAGTACCTACTCAACAAGAACTTTGAGTATAATATATTTTATGCGGGGGTGCTGCTGGAAATTTAGGGCCCCATGTAACCATATCATATTGGGCCCCCAACCCAGACCAATCCAGTTATGTTCCACATTTTTGTCACAGTAACTCTGTCCCCCCTTTTATGATGCCCTCCCTCTAGGAAGCACGGGAGACCTGGGATGGGATGCCAGCCCAATACGGAGTTTTTACTAAGTAATGGGCGTTCTAAACGCTTCTTCTGACTGATGAGAAATTTTGAAGAGAGTTTGATGATGACTACTGTAATGCATCAGCCTGTTGGGAACCCGCCACACTGAAACAGGGGTGAACACCACCACATGGGTCAGTGGTAACCAACCACCAGCGAATAGTACCTGCATTTCTTTTAAACCAAGCATCCGAAACAAATAAAAAATAGTTTGAATTTTCTTCTGCAGCTCCTGATCACGTGGGAGCAGCCCTGACTTTCACTGGGACAAATTCCAACTGTACAGCCCTTGTCCTGCCACTTATGATCATCTCCACACCACTGTATGATCTTTAACAGTGGGGAACTCTAGAGTAGGAGAGATTCCACTGCCGAGTTAGAGGTCTATTTCCAGAACCCACACAATGCATGGAGGTAAGGTGACTATATCTAATGCATACCTTTCTTCTGCACTAACAAAGACTCCTTCCCAGTGAGGTAATATTCCGCATTATCAAAGCCAGGGTCCATTGCCAAGGTGTAATCTCTCTTGCTACCTCCTGCTCATGCCACTCAAAGGCAGTGCACCTGACCCTCATCTGACCCTCACCTTGCTGCTGGTGAGTTCCTGAGAATGCATTAAGAAGCCATGTTGGGTTTGAGGCCGGCGGAGTTACAGTGGTGGCCCATCCAACATGTGCAAGCTGGTGAACAGCACCCCCCAGCCTGGTGAACAGCACCCACAGCTGGTGAACAGCACCCCCAGCCTGGTGAACAGCACCCCCAGCTGGTGAACAACACCCCCCAGCTGGTGAACAGCACCCACAGCATGGTGAACAGCACCTCCAGCCTGGTGAACAGCACCCCCCAGCTGGTGAACAACACCCCCAGCTGCTGAACAGCACCCCCAGCCTGGTGAACAGCACCCCCAGCCGGTGAACAGCACCCCCAGCCTGGTGAACAGCACCCCCCAGCTGGTGAACAGCACCCCCAGTTGGTGAACAGCACCCCCCAGCCTGGTGAACAGCACACCCAGCCTGGTTATGCTAATCTAGGCAGGATGCACTGATATTCATCTGTACTTTTCACTGAGGTCTTTCTTTGATAATAGTCTGTCTGGCCTCATACCCACAAACTCAACCCCAAATAACATAACTCTATGGATCGGTGAAACAAAAAGAACCCTCACAGGCCATATGAAGTTTGAACTTCTTGGTGAGGACCAAAACATTCCGTAACTTTCTACATTCTTCATATATCTCAGTAGTCAGACACTTACCAAATTGCCTGTGAGGAATCTTCCAAGTGTAGAGGGTTATGATTGGGGCAATTTCCGATATGGTCCTGGGTATCTGGCTCTGCAAGCGGCCCTCCAAGTTGCAGGGAAAAATTTGGGGTTGGAGGCGGACACTCCAGCCACCATAAAAACTTCACCCAGCTCCAAAACGAGAGTCAGGGCTCTTCTGCTCTCCGTGGGAGTAGCTCTGCTGCAGCTGCCCACAGGGAGGCTCCAGACATGATGAAGGGGATGGGGGAAGCCCTCAGGAGCATCATCTC